TTTAGATTTGCAAAACGATGAATCTAGCACAGGTCTCTTCCTCACTTTGCAATTCGAAACAAAATGTCTTTAAACTGAGAGCAGCTGTAACAACTAGTGACATCTAACTGTAAACCTGTACTATGCTCATTGGCTGGCTGGGGTGATTAAACTGTATATTAGGACAGCTCAAACACTCACTGCTTATCTTATACATCAGTAAGCTGCAGAGACACCATAGCCAGCGCTGTTTCTTTACACTGGGTTAATGGTCAATCTATGTAATCATTAAACTGACCGTCAGCCAAATGTGTCACTGCAGTAGCCAACAGAGGTTGAGAAAACATTGATGATTTTCAGTTTTTATCCTTCTTATTGTACGTATGATTTATGTGACTCCCTCCCCCGATCAGAGGGTCCTCTGAAGATAAGGGAGGGTAGTAGGCATCCGTCAGTTAACCTGTGTAACAGAGCGAATTGTGAAGCACGTACACATGAAGGGCCGTTGAGCAGAGACTGCGAGTGGCTCAACATGTGTCTTGGTCTTTAGCCTAATAGGACTGACTCTTGTGTTGAGTCATTAGAGCAAAACTACTAGAATAAGAAGCCAAAAACAGCCAATGCATTCAAAACAAGCCATTGATTTGATATTATTTGAAAGGACACAGAGGTTATGGGCTCCTCCCAGCTATGAAAGTGATAGTCCTCTCCCTTTATGATCCCTAATGTTGACAGTAGGGTGATTCCAGAGATTGCTTTGGGTCTATAATTGCCATGATGATGCTGATTGTTACAGTTTCATTTGATCCACCAGCAGCGGTTTGGCAGTCAGTAGTGATGGTGAGGCTAGTACAGTCCTACACTACACGTCCCATCATCCTGAAAGACAGTCACTTGTTGTAAGTGCCGTGTCTATTTTTAGCCTGCTGCGCCCCAGGATGTGTTTTGCGGTTATCCTAATGGCTGCTGGGCTTTGATGCATGTCACCAGGAGTCAGTGCAGCCATTATTGTTCATCTACTACGGACGATTAAGGCCAGTTTGTACCGGCCTAATGTTAAAATAATGTTTACCAGTGCAGCTTACTAAAGCTCACACTGATATTAACCAGTGTTAATACTAAACCTACAGCTTCACCAAAGCAGGAATAATACCAGTATCACAGTCACCAAATATGGACAGTACTCGCTGGTGCCTGTCATTTTTCAGAGCATCTTTAGTAAGATTACATTCATGCTGTTTGGTTATGCAGACAGTATTTGTATTGAAGCCTTTATAGTCTTTTTACAGGGTGCCTGCAAGTTATACTGCCTTAATCTCACACCTTAAATAGTCCTGCATCCAGCTAAATATAGCATTTTACAACTTAGATGAACTATTATGAGTCTTACACATGTTGTGAATTCTCTGGCCCCCTGGTGAGAAATGAAACCTGTCATGCAGAATGTCTTTCAATTGCTTTCACTTTCAAATGATCACAGCGGTGAAGTATTGGCCCTATTTGTCATCATAATTTGCATTGAAGGGTCTTATAAATGGTTAAATGTAAGGACACAAACCCTCCAGGCGCCATGTTTTAACTTGAATGAGATGTTAAGAGGAACAGCGATTATGTAAATGAAGCGTTGGAATCAGATCCAGTTGCAGAGGTATATCATCAGCAGTCACCAGCTTGATAAGTGTAACTTGACAGTATTGCAAGTGTATGTGGCTGCCGGTGAGTTTTGCAGTCAGTTTGTGAATGAACCACCACTAATGCTTGTGGACATGAGCAAAGTGACGGTATTTTAGATTTAAAGGAATAAACATTACGGGTCAGTGAAGGAGCTGCTCTCACCAGTCAGAGTCACAACCATGATTCAGTTGGTGCTGAAGATGAAGGGATGAGGTGATGGTGATGTCAGCGAGCGTGCAGGGCAACCCTCTCTCTGCGCTGACAGGACGGAGAATCTCAGGCAGGCAGGAGACGGCGATATTTGGAGGCAGGGCTCTGATTGGCTGCCACAGGATTCCTCTGGGTGACGTCACTGAAGATGGAGACAGGCTGCCTCAGAGCTGGACTGGATGGATTCAGCTTTCACGTAGAAACAGAATCCATAAAGAGGGCTGTCTGATGGCACCCAATTGAGGATAAATGCATTTAATAAATTCAGTTCAGTCTGTATTGTAAGTGTTGACCCCTGTCGGTTGGTAGTCGGTGTTATTTCCTCCAAAATGCAATCACAACTGGAGCCAAAGACACGTTCTCAAGGGAACGCTGTTCAAAAGAACAGATTGTGCAGACGTCTGAACAAGTGAATTATGTGTATGTGTTATTCTCAGTTTTACATACTGATGCCTAAAACACATCCTTCAGAGGAGAGTGAAGGCCTGTGAGAAAATCACTAATTCTTCATTGTTGGTAGCCAGACCACCCTGTAATCAATGTAATTACTACTTAATGTAATTAAAGTCGTTCGTGTAGCTAGCTCTAGATTTATCCGTTACTTAATTACTAACAAACAGAAAAGTGCCTTGATAATTGATTAATCGCTCAAGTTGTTGATCAAAAGTGCCGAACATTTGCTCGTTTCAGCTCGTCGAATGAGGAGTTAAGCTGGTTCTGTCAGCGGCCACAGGTATTCAGGCCGTGATACGGCTTCAGGGATGGAAAGGTCAACTGGTCGGTTGCCCGGTCGACCACTTTGGTCCAGACGGAAACATCTCGACAGCTACTGAATGGGTTGATAGGAAATATTCTACAGACATTCAAATCAAGTCCGGTGATCCCCTTACTCCTCTTCTAGTGCCATATAGCAACAGACAGATGACGTTACCAACAGTCTCAGCTGCACTTTCCGTGTAGTGCTATTTGGCTAACATCTAAACTAAGGCGTTGAACGTGGTAAAAGTAGCTGCTAAACATCAGCATATTAACATTGTCATTGCGAGCGTGTTATGCTGACATTAGCATTCAGCTCGAAGCACCACTGTGCCTCAGTGCAGCCTCAGAGAGCTGCTAGCATGGACTGTCCTGTTTTGTCAAGATAAGTCATTTTGAAACATCATTTGAAGGCTGAGGCATGTGACAGGCATTTGTTGTGATTTTATATCACTGCTTTAAAGCCTGAACAAGAAACATCATCAATGGAGACACCTTGAACCCATGAACATACAATTTACTATATATAGACAAAACTATGGTACGTGCACACGTGGAAACAAACTAATATACATGTGACATTGTTGGGAAGGGCAACATATACATTAATGCACATTAACAGTGAACACACAGGAACTAACCCAAATCAGAGGGACTCTGCTAGCTTAGTCACGATGCAGTAAATATAGCATCTGTGTTGACTCAGATGTGATCAGCCTGTACTGTGACACATGTTAATTAAAGAGACTCTTCATTTGTTAGTGGCGACACGGCTTCCTCATTTGGGAATTTACCAAAAGTGCTGAAAGTGATTCCTCATAAAGGCTAAATGTGCTTTTCATAATTTAGTTCAAATCCTCTCCTCCTTCTGTGACGATGCTCTCCCGTCAGCAGCATTGTAAACAGCCTATCTGTGTCACTGACTCGAGGCTTATGAATACAGCAAGAAAGGATGTGACCTAAATAACAGATTCTTAGCCCCGTGTACATCAGTAGGCCGTAAATACACAGTTTTAAATCAATAGTCGATTTGTACCCTGCTCAGCCGAAGGAACATGTAGAAATAAACAGGTTGTGCCTGTGTTAAATGGTTCTGAAAACCATCATTTGTATTCACAACTCTGGAACAGCACCCAGAAACAGATGTTTCAGATGTTAGGATTTACTGCAGGGTTGTTGGATTAGATTGGATATCTAGCAGCCGCAGCACTGCTGGGCTCACGACCTCCTTTCAGCTGAGGGCAAATATGGGATATCAATAGAAAATCACACGGATTAGAATGAGAAGGAATGTCATCATTCACACTTCTGTCTGTCCACCACGAGTGTACTCTTACAGTATTGTGTTTTTAAAATAGTATTTCCAGTAGAAATGTCATATTCTACATTCCTGACTCCACTTTTCCCTGAATGCCTCATGCTGCTGAAACAAATACTGTTCACCTTTCAGAAAACATTGGCCACACTGGAAAAAGCTGGTGCATTGACAAGTTCTTCCAAGGTCAAAGCTGATATCTGTACTGCGTCTCCCCTCTGAAAGCAGATTCTTGTGTCTCAAAGTTACAGTCAATTGAAAAGAACAAAGACCTCATTCACTCTGCCTGCTTCTTGCTTCAGCCCAATTAAATAAAGTCATTCAGATAACAATTGACTGCGCACATGGACGGATCATGTGTCTTTCCCTCTCTCTGGTAATTAAAAAAAAATCCGGTTAGATAGACAAATAGAGGGGAGGACACCGAGAGTTGTTTTTCGGGAATGTTCCAGATCTGTGCTGATTTCAGACACTGACAGGATCCTGTGTTTATCTCCACTCACACATCACAACCGGGGTTAAATGGAGTCGAACGGGGTTCTGATTTATTTCACTTTGATACATGTTTACATGCTGCAATTATGATTTTGATGATCTGGAACAATATACACTATTTGACAATAAAATTATTTTATACCAATACAGATCTGATATGTCATCTGATAATATTTTAGGGATGGCTCTTGGTTCTTTCAGATGAGAAAACTTTTTTCATTCATTGATTTGGGATGTAGATTTAAATGGACAGCGCTAAAAAGCTCTAAAAAAAAAAAAAGAAAGACTGTTTTTAACCGTGTCCAACACCAAACAGCAGACACACCTGAAAGTTAGCAGCTAGTAGGTGAATATAGTGGAGCATTCAGCAGCTAAAGATATCTATCTCTTTGTATTTAAGAGCTGATGAAGACCAAAGACTGCTAAAAGGGAATGAATACCAGACTTACAGTCATCAAGTAGACACAGACATCGCTCCAAATGAATGCTAAGGATTCTCTGTATCTGCTGGATGTGTTCATAGACCTTTTTCACAGCAGCCATCTTCACATGAAAAAGTTGGGTAAACACCAGTGCTACCAATGATACTGATTAAGGTTCTGTTTGATTCAGGACAAACAGAGTCAGGGTGCTGCTGTTGTGCATGTTGGCTCACTGGAAACGTTCAGCTACACTAAATTGAACGCAACCTTAATTAGTATCATCGGTAACACCTGCGTTACCCTACTATTTCACATCAAAATGGCTGCTGTGAAAAAGGTTTATGGTATGCTAACAAGCTGAAGCCACGTGAGCTTGAAGCTGCCCAAAAAATCAATTATTGCAGGTTTAACGACCAAGTATTTAGTGGCATACTGTACATTTATAATTATAGCCCAGTCCAGTTGTAGGCGCAGTCTTTCAGTTGCTGCACACTCCGTGCGTGCAGGAGTGTGATACATTTGTACTACTACACTTAAAATACAGTTGAGCTGTCAAATTAATAGCAAGCGTGGCTCTTACTCCTAATCTCTCCTGACTCCTAATCCGTTTCCTCTCTCACTTCTGTTTCCAGGTTTTAGGGTTTGAGGTGGACTCCATCAACTCTGTGCAGTTCTCCAACCATACAGGTAAGACGGATGAAATAGCATACATCTCTGAGAGCGCGTGTGTGTGTATGCTGTAGTCAGCGGGTGTGGGTGTGTATGAGTCAGCCAGTGCCCCTGGTGTCGTGACGAGGTGTTAGCGAGTGTTAGAGAGGCGGTTGTCGTCGAGGCGGTGGCCGCGTTGAGGCTGACGAGCCGACAGCTGAGTGAGTGGAGTTTTTGGGGAGGTCAGTGACTTCACTGGCTGACACCATCAGCTGTACGGGGCGAACCCCATTCACATTTTATACAGGCTCTCTCTCTCAGCCCGTCCTAGGACAAGTTGAACGCTGCTGGTCTTATTTTGAAACTCTGCTCTGCTCATGAGTAATACAAATTAAAGCTGAGTGCTGAGCTTGAGACTATACATTTCTAACAATGGGAAAGGATGTGGGCATTTAAACTGCTTTTCCACCGCATGGTACAGTTCGGCTCGACTCTACTTGCTCTTTTTTATTTTCCATTATGGATAGTACCTAGTACTTTTTTTGGTAACAACTCGGTCGAGGTTCCGAGCGAGCTGAGGCGACACTGAAAGGTGACGTGAAAACACTGCAGACCACTGATTGGTCACGCAACACAGGACATCCTGCACAAACCTCCCATTTTTTAAATACTTAAAATGGTTATCGTTCACTCAAACCACGCCGTGGTCAAGTGACGAAGTGCAGAGGTACCAAGAACACCATCCCTTCAGATCCTCTGCTATAAGAGCAGCAGCTCCTTTGTTTGTGGATAGTGTGTGGAAAAGGTGAGCAGTAAGGTTGTCAGTCTGGCAGTAAATGTACAGTGTAGGCTACAGATTGTCAGTGAATAAAAGCTGCAGCTTCTCAAGACTCCATGTTGTTTCCCAACTGCATCTATCCAGAGTATCATCTACAGCGGGAAACGAAGTAAAGGTACCAAAAGAGAGTAGAGACGAGTCGAGTCGAGCTTTACTGCGGGGTTGAAATACAGCTACAGTACCAGGCAGCGAGGGTCTAATGATGAAAGGATTTTTTGGGTCTTTTATGGACTAAAAGTTAGAATGTCTCTGTTTCTGCTCCATTCATTCTGACCTTTAACTTTACAAAAGTAATCACAATAGAATATATTATTGCAGTAATTACTGAAATATTGGAAGATTAAAATCTGTAAGAAGTATGATAATGAACAAAGGAACTGTTCTCTAACGCTGCTGATCCTCCTTTCTGCCACACAAAGGAGTGTTTGCCTGCATCCTGCAATGTCCACTTCACAGCTATCGCTCACAGAGGGATCTCTCGCTTGTGTTTATTGTTGATTATCACGGTAACGTTTGGTGGGATCCTAGTGTGAACCTATGATGATGTCACACATTGGTTTGGGGAGTACTGTTTTGAAGCCTGGAGTCTGGCATTATGGTCGTCACCATGTTGGTTTTTTGCAGCCAGCAGCGGTGACATACTGCGACTCAACCTGTCTGTATCAGGAAACAATGGCAGCCCGCCTGGTCACACACACAGATACAGTATGTTGGTAGGTCTCTCTAGTTTCAATAATGATACAGTTAAGATTTTCAGTTGCTTGAACTTGTTGACTTGATGATGGTTCTGTAATTAAGGGAGCGACTGATTTTTACGAAGTCTAAGTAAATATTGTATATTAAATTCTAATAATAATAACGTTTATTTACTGCAAATAGCACTAATCAAAGTCAGTGATTACAAAATGCTTTGCAGACATTTGCTCTCCACTCCTGTGTTTATAACACTGATTGGCCAGATTGGGTGAGCCAGTTACAAATTAAAAAGGCGTACTTGCAACAGCAATAATCTGTTGATGCATGTCGTTACTGATTGGCCCAGAGGGAGTGTCTGCGTCATCCCTCAGTGTCACATTTACTCGTAATATTTTGATCAAATTTCCAGTCTCATCAGTGAGTAATCTGTCTTTCCCCTGTCTTGCACTGATGGATGGTCCCAGCTCGTGTTATTCAGGCAAACTCAACTTGAACAATGAATCAGCTGAGCACTGTGAAAACAAACACATCTGCCCAGCTGTTGCTTGTTGCTTCCCAGTGGATTCAAGCAATATCCAGACTCCAGAAATCCTCACAGGATCTGGTCATTATTACAAAGTTTGGAATAAATTTAAAGGAAATTATAAGAATAAAGTTTTTTTATCTGTTTATTTGATAAGTCAGATTTTAGTCTCTTGTATTTGTTGGCTGGTTAGTAAGAGACACTGCACTCACTTCCCTGCCACCAACATAAAGAGGAATATAGATAAAAAGTAAATGCACCTTTCCATATTTCTATATATTTTATGGAATTAAAAAAACAGCTATTTATTAGTTAATTTTTATTAAAGATAAAGATAGAGTAGCATTATGAAAACTCAAGAAAACAAACAAACCAAAAACACAGAACATGTGCAGTAAGAGCAGTCGTTAAAATCCCTGTAGCCTGATGACACCAGGCTCTACATAGCTCAGACAGGGTTCCCAAATGTTCTTATTCCTATTCTTTTTGAATGTTATACACATGTAAAGTACTGGCACTAAATCAAACTGCTCTCTCTGCCAGCCTTTCACAGCTTTTTCAACTTCTTCATGAATCCACTACACACAGTATTTGGCTAATGTTGTCAGTGGCTGCTCTGTTTGGGAAATTAGTCAACTGTGGTGTATAGAGATTTCTACGTTGTTGTTTTTACAGTGTTTAATTGGTACAGAGTGAATGACCTTGACCTCCTCATGTCATGGTTGTCTAGTTTTTCATTTGGTCAAGTTTGAGAATCCGAGTAATCATAACCTACTCTGTGTAACTAATCTCAGTTGCCAGGAAAAGGTCAGCCAGCTGTTTATCATCTGGTGTGAAAGCAGCCAGGTTACACTGTGGTTTTGTAATTTCATTGTTATTGAGCTAGGTGGATGATGTTGAATTTAGAGCTAGTGAAAGTAATGTGTTGTGATGTTGCAGACTAAGGGTAAAGATAATTGTAGGTGTGCTGTAGGATAAGTGCTGTTGCGTAGGCGAGCGTGGGACTCGTCCGTAGCAGCATCAGATGCAGAGACAAATAAAATGCTGTAATTTACATTTGAGCTGTTTAGAAGTGTTGTAGCCTGGATTCAGCCAAACATTTATGATATAAGAGGTTCCCATGACCAGGTTTCTCTGCAGACCGTTTATTGGATAGTCCACAGGCTTGCTGTGAAGTTCTTTAGAAACTGTTTTCTATCGAACATAGAAAATAGTAAAACTGGTAAAAGTGGTATTTTTCTCAAATGTTCTACTGTGCAAGAAACAGATGAGAATAGATATGAAAATAATTCATATCATACAGGAAATTAAAACTGGTATACTGGTTCATCCTGTGTATTGCCCAGGACAAACTGGGACATTGTTTCTACAAGCTGTGTCATTTTCAATGCTTGGAGCAGCACAGATGAAATATTACCCACCTCCTGTGCATTTGGGAGGCAGCAGAAGTTTCAGTGATGGATATCTCAAAACCTCTGAAAATAAAGCTGAAACTATGTGCAGAGGAAGATACTACCAGTACTTTGTTGGTTACTTTATTTTGTTGTAGTTGAACTTTAAGTTTTAAAGTAAATAAGCACTTATCAGTGGCTTATTCCTTTTTTTCCGTAGCATTTTTTTGCATCATATTTGCTGAAGGTTAGCACAGAATCCTTCCTCTGTGGATCTTCTTTATTTGCAGTTGATTAATGTACCAAACGTTTACTTAGGTTTGTACTTTGTGTTTATATTTCTGTCTTCAGTTAAGGATGGTAGGGTAGGAGGCTCATAAGCTGGATGAGGCACATGCGACTTCATTTTTGAAGTTTGTGTGGGAATGGGAAAATATTTATCAAGAATATCCGTTCTGGGTTTTTCAGAAGGGAGCTGAACTATTTGAGTCGATCGTTCTCAAAATACAGTTCAGGGACGTTTTAGAATTCTGGTTTGGCAGAATTGTATATCTCTAGAAAATTGTCCGACTGGGATTATTTGATCTTTTTGTCACCGTGATCTCCAAGTGAACAGTAAAAACACAGCTGTCACATTACACACTACCAGGACTGTGTGCTAGCACGTTTTTGATTGGCCAACGCAGTGCCTTGCCAGATGGAGCTGGATTGCGTTGCGGCAAGAGTTGAGCCAGATTCCACATTTTGCCTCCGCACCCTCTGAGTCCCATTAGAGTAAATTAGGTGGCTGTGTATCTGTGTGTTTTCACACAGTGTTCTTGTCTGTCTGAACACACTGCATAGACGGGATTCCTGTGAGCTTCAAGCTAAATCTGTATTCAATTTAAATCTTTAGGGACCAATTAGACTAAGAGGGATTCTAATCATAGGTCTCAGCTCACTGTTCACATCACGTACAGAGCAGACAGTGATACAGCTGAGGACAATGTCAGGAACCAAAAATGTCTTCCTCCCATCAAAGCCTCACATCACTGGTCTCAATTGTGTTTGTTTCAGTGACCTTAGCATAAAAGTGCCTCAGACTCTAGAGCTTGTTTAATCAGATCTTGTATATTGGAAACTAACATTTGCAATTTCTTCGAGGAGAGTGTGTAATTTGGTGTGACACATTGAAGAAGACGGGTGCCTCTGAGAGGGAGCGGGTGGCTGGCGATGGGGACAGAGAAGGTGAATTGAGGGAGGGAGAGACAGCAGGTTTTTGAATCAAGAGAGACAGACAGCGGATGATGGAGAGAAAGACGGAGGGAGTGGAGAGAGAGAGACAGGACGCAGCAGTAAACAGCAGCAGGCGTTGTGAATTGCGACAGCATCGAATGATGACGACAGAAGCGGCTCTTATCTGTAGGCCTGCCTTCATTTCCCCTCTCTCTCTCTCTACACACCAAACCACACACAGCACGCTGACTGCTCATCTCTCTTTCTTAGCCCCTTTGGCTTTCTCTCGGCTTGTTGCTTAGCAACCAGAACCCCCCACCACGTGACCTGGCTGTGACTCACCTGGAGCTGCGACATCATCGGCCTGCAGCAAACATGTCATACGCAGACAGACGTGCACTAACGCAGGCTCACATTGGCATTCACGTCACATAAATGTGCCCCCATATAGGTACATACAGCACTTCACACATATGCATACCCAGATATCCTCCCCCAGCCTCCCCTCTGTCCCTGGCTGAAATAGTAGTTCAAAATATGAAATCTTTTGGAGCAATACTCACTTGTTTTTGAGTCATGCGGGCAGAGAGGAGACAAAACACAATCGATTGCAGTGTCTCTAACTTTATTCTGTGAGGATGCTCTATCCTTGTTGGTGCATTGCTTCACATCTTGGCGTGCCACCGCCACTTGTAGATCAGTGGAATAGTGTGTAAGCATTGGCAGGAATGTGTATTGCGTCACCCACACCCACCCCTGTTCAGTTTGTCTTGTGCACGTGCATCAATCAAAGCACAGACAAACAGCTCCGTAGTGCTACTAGAGGTCACTGGGTCCACAGCGAACCCTTGAGTCAAAGTACAGATGAACTTCTTCCCTCGGACGACAACCAGCATGTTGTTGTACTGTTATTTAATGCACGCTAACTGAAGCATCCTAACCTGCCCAGATGAATTTGGTGTCAAATTGAAAGTTTAATCAGGTTAGTGAGTACAAGGTTTTAATGTGTGTGTCAGCGTCGATAGAGGGCTTTAATAGGCAGTATGTGCGTGTGTCTGTGGGTGGAGAATTGAAAAGTGATTGCAAAGGTCCTATTAAACACAATAACTCCTCTCCTCTCTGCAGGTTATTCTCATTGGAAAGGCCAGGTGTTGACAGCGGATGAGCTCCATGTTCTGTACGAAGGAATCAAACTGAACAACGTACACCAGTATGACTATGTTTTAACAGGTGAATACACTACTTATATTCTTCACTTCTGCACTGCTCAAAATACAACATCTGTAATGTGTGTGCCACAGTTCTGCAGTTGGGTTCAGCTTCATGTTATGTGATGTTATTCTGTTGGACTTTCTAAATCCTCCTCAGGTAAATTTTTTTCAAAAATGAGATGCTGCATCTCAAAGAAATTCAAATTGTATTAAATGAGTCCTGCATTATGTTCCCTCCAGTCTCCTTTTCCACTTTACATTCAGTGTGCTAATGGTAGCTGGATGTTGTCCTGCCAAACCTGAATTAAGGTCACAGTCTTGTGATTTTTTTGTGATTCTAAGTATACCTGAGCAGCCATTTTCATCCGTATAGCTTCAGTCATGTGACATGCAGAGGAGTCACAGAACACTAGAGCTGCTTTAAAACAAAGCTTTGAGCAGAAGACAAATAATTAAACTAAGTATAATGACTATAATACTGTTTGTATCTCTGTGTGTGTGTGTGTGTGTGTGTGTGTGTGTGTCGTATTCAGGGTATACCAGAGACACATCCTTCTTGGAGATGGTAGTGGACATTGTTCAGGAGCTAAAGAGAGCCAACCCCAACCTGGTGTATGGTAAGTAACCACATGGTTTTAGTTCAAAACTGTAGAGCTGCATAGTCTGGTGATAATTCTCTGTGGGTTCGAGTGACCCCTTCCACAATACGAGGCATTTGATCCATTGTTGCCATAGAAATATGAATTAGTGGAGCTTTAATATGACTGCACTCTGTCAGCAAGTTAGCCTCATGTTGAAACATCAGAGTATGGGACAGTGAAACAAAATCCCCTAATGGGCTCAAATTAAATATTTGAAACTTTTTAAGTGACAAGCCAGCAAACAAACTCATTAGTTCTTTACATTAAGTAGCTTTATGTAGCTTGACATTAATCTCAGAGAAGATCCAGTTCTCACTGTGGACTCTCTCTCTCTCTCTCTTGCCAGGAGGATTCTCATCTCATGTTGCACGAATCAGTTTCACTCAAATCAAGGCTGTTGCAGCCTGGCCTGTAGTCACTGTGTTTGTGGATGTAGTGAAGACCTACTGCCACTGTTCAAAATAATAAGCAACCAGAGGGTGACATACATAATGTGTTTACCCGAGTACTTTTTGTTGTGGACAGAACGTGCTGTACTACAGTACTAGGTTGAGCCTGTGTGTGTCTGTAAGATGATGCCAGATATTCTTACACTGTTCAATATCTGTCACATTATACAAACTGCAGGTTTCTAGTTGGGATGAGGGGATACTCTACCTTTTCTCTCCCTATTCAGCAACACGAAACACTAATGCGTTTGAGAAGATTGTATATTACTATTGTTCTGGTTTTGGCACTGACTTAACTAGCTGCAACTAGTGAGACAGCTTTTGGTGGAGAAATTAGTATTGCTTCAGTTTTTCCTGTAGTTTGTAGAAATAGACGAGTTTTCCTTCGATGCTAGACAATTAAAGGTGCTTATGTTTTACATTGTAATGTAACCAATGGAGCAAATGACTGTAATAGGTGCTATGCAGTTCCCCTCAGCGCTGTGGAGCATTGTATTATGTATATACGTTCAGATCATTGTTTTGCTTTTACAGCCCAAACTGTACTGTTTTGGTTCACTTTCGCTGCTCTTATTAATCTTGTTTTCAGCAACAGCAGGCAGCTGCTTTTAGTGAAAAAGCTGAGATAAACCCACTCTCATGTACCTGCCCATCACCACAAAGCCGGCAGACAAAGTTACTACATGGTGAACATAGTGGAGCGAAGGAGCCAGATATTTCCCTCAGGAGTTAGAGGAGAGCAAAATAGAGCTATAAGGAGAGAGAATTTGACTGACATTGGCCAGGTGGACACCGGACAGAGGCACAACTCTAAATAAATGCTAATGTTTCTCTGTATCTTGTAAATTGGCAGCTGTAAGATACATTTTCTGTCAAATAAATAAAAATTCTACTTCATTTGAGAGGAAAACTGTAGTAAACAGTCAAGCACAGCACAAAAGCGAGCTAGCACCCATAAACGTTGACCACCTACCTGTAATGAACCTGAGACACTTCATCATGAACCCTGCATCATTAAAAAAGGAGGAATAAAAACTGGAGTTAAATGTGTCAGAACTAGGTCTACTAACAAATGATATGTTAGCAAGGGCTGTCCTGGAAAGAGTGGGAACCCTGAACATCATGTTGTCTGTTGAGGCCAGTTGTGTGAGAGCGTAAGGAAAGTACCTATCATGACTTATGGCCTAGGACAATACATTTGTATCTCCACTACTGCTGATGGTGTAATCATAGAAAAACCATTAGTATGTTGGTTGCTCCCGGTGGTACTTTGGTAATGTGAGGTGTAATGAACATTACAGCCTCTATGAGGCACTAGCTGGGCCTTTTTAGTCTTCTCTTTTAAGAGAATGCAGACTTTCCAAATTAAATGTTTACATCTCCAAATCCAGTTTCATGCCTCCCATCACTGCAGCGTTTATGTAATGTGAAAATTGTTGGATCTTTGCAGGTCTGTGTTGGGTGTCTGACTCTGAATGTGTTTTTGTCATTTCAGTATGTGACCCCGTTCTCGGTGATCATGGATCTATGGTGAGATTAGTGACACTTTTATGCTCTGTGTGGTGTATGTGCAGTGGTTAATGTGTGTTATTGGATAGATTTTTAACCAGGATTTCTGTGCCTCTGTGTGTGTGGAGGTTTTAGTGTTCATTTTTTTCCCTGTGTGTTTTTTTATCTGTAAATATATATATATATATATATAGATATAATATATTATATATATGGTGTGTGTTTTGTGTGTGTGTGTGTTAGTGTTCTGAGGGTGTGTTACAAGGCTCATTTCTCAGTGACAGATGGATTATTGTGATCTGACAGAACTACATGTACACAGTGACTCATTCTGCGTGTGTGTGTGTTGTGTATATATATTACAATGTGCGGACGTGCATTTTTGCGGATTAAAATCATATTTAGTCTGTTATCGCTTATAATTTCAAACCATGAAAACAAAGATCAGAGAAAAGCCTTTGAATTAACTCAGCCTACTCATTTAAGTGTGTGTAGCCCTTCCTTTAGAGCACAGTTTGTGTTCTGTGACTAACCTGTGTGTCTCGTTCTGCAGTACGTTCCTCAGAATCTTTATCCGGTCTACAAGAACAAGGTGGTTCCTGTTGCTGACATTATTACTCCCAACCAGTTTGAGGCTGAGTGAGTACAAGTTTTTCATAACAGCACATTTCTGTTGATATGTCTTAAATCCAATAAATCTAACAGGAAATCTCTGTAACTATCTTACTTATAGTGTATGGAGACACTCAAACTAAACTTACTTAGTTTGTAGTAGCTATACCTCAGTGAGTCTGTAGCTGTGTGAGTGGCAGAGCTTTAGCGAACACCGTCTTTATGTAATGCCACTCATGCTGTTATCTAATACCCTCATTCTGTGGTGGCAGAAATCTGGGAAAGAATTAACTGAAAATACGCCTCAGCACCCCTCTTATCTTTCTTGTTTTAAAGCATGATTTACATAGCTTGAAAGATATTTTTTTTCCATTAGTGTGTGGGAACGTACGATACGTAGTCTTGTTGAAACTCTTTATTTAAAGTTAAGATACTATGTTTTTTAAGTCTGCACAGTTACTGAATGTATCAATATACATGTCCAGTAATAGAGATGGATGAGCACATTCAGCAGAGACCACGCTACCAACTGGGTTTGTAATGATGTAGCTACTGGTGTCTTCAGCAGGGTTGAAAGATGTTGATTTCAGTCTGTCTGGTAACAATTAGCACTATCTTTTACATTTTAATGATCCCCATGGAGAAACAGGCAGATATAAGATGTTTACTATGTTTTGGTTGGCTGCTTTTCTTCCCTGCATTAACTAAATGGCTGCATTTCTAAAAAAAACTGCAGCATTAAGCCACAATTTAAGAGATAACTGTGTCTCAACTCAGTTATCTCTGCAGCTTCACTGTCAAGTTGCTCCACCTAGTGGTGTTCCCATGTGCTTGCAGAATCAGATTTAAGGTTTTTCTTTATACCTGCATCACACTTTATTAGACTAATAATGATTCAAGTTTTTGAAGCCTTCAGAACCTTTTGAGGTTCATATTTTAGCCAGGACCCCAGGGCTCTAGCGTCGTCATATGCCACCTCTCGCAAAAACCCAAACCTCTGTCATTCTCTTTTTGTGTTTTTCTGTTTATTAAGTAAATGTTCAGTGTTTCTGTGCTATTGACATAATGGTCATTTGTTTGTTTGTCTTTTAGATTATTGACAGGGAAAAACATCAGCACAGAGAAAGATGCTGTAGAGGTAACAGATCACTTACTCTTAAATCCTTCTCTGCTTTCCTGCATAATGTCTTTGTTTACAGAGTAAGCCGTTGTGTCTCACTCACTGACTGTCTGCAGGTTATGGACCTTCTCCATGCCATGGGCCCGGACACAGTGGTCATCACCTCCTCTGATCTGCCCTCCAGACTTGGAGACCGCTTCCTTGTGTCGTTGGGCAGCCAGCGCCATGGTACGTGACATGCAATTTAGTGTGCATATAGAGTGTCTATATTTGTGAGACTAATGAACCCTTCAACATGTTGTGTGTTTGCTTTTCAGTTCGCCCCGACGGCAGCAGGACGACACAGAGAGTTCGAATAGAGGTTCCTAAAGTGGACGCCGTCTTTGTAGGAACTGGAGATTTGTTTGCTGCTATGCTGCTAGCGTGGACACACCACTACCCTAATGACCTGAAGGTACGAAAAAACACAGTAACAGTCATACTGAGGCTGGCAGGGCACAACCCACAGACACATAAAAACAGCAACATATGGCTGACAGGCCCATTAACCTCAAAGGAGAGTTTATTAAGCTATCACTGCCTCTAATACTAATATCACAAGAAAAAAGAATATAAATTGTTTTAAAACTGATTTGGCACCGTGTGGAAGAGTGTGTGTTTCCTACATCCATTGTATTTTCCGAAATCCTGTTTTTGTGGCTGATATGAAGGAGAAAGCTGCTTCACAGAGGTGTGTGAAGGCCAGTGTTGAGTGCGTGCTGATGGACAGAGGGGATACCCAGCTTTAATGCCCACCAGTTATTAAGGACTGGAGAGAGGCTGCGTAACTGAATACAGTGGCAGCAGGTGTGCTTCAGTGGTCAGCACTGCACAGGCCGGTTGTTGAAAATTGCCACTTTGAAAAATCCACACACCAAGCTGCCCATGAGCTGTGATAAATAATACACACCCTGTGCAAGTGGAGATCAATCATTTTACTTATTGACAGAAGATTGAGGCAGCCTCACTGACCAGGCAGAGCTACAGGTGACAGGACATTAGACTTTGATTTAAGTTGATGTATTTATCATAACTGCAGCATTAAAAATGCTAATGTTTACTTATTAAGTAATTGAGACCCCCCCAAAAGGACGCATATATACGTATGTCGAGTCATGAAAAACCTAATAATCCCTTTCTATCTGCTCTTCTCGCTCTCTCTCTCAGACGGCCTGTGAGAAGACTTTTTCAGTGATGCACCATGTTATCCAGAGGACCATTTCGTATGCTCACGGTAAGAAGTAGGGCTTGTCATCAATGCCTAAAGCTTTGACTTATCTATGCTGTTTTCTTATCTCAGAGACAAACACAGACAAGACCAACAGAGCTAAAATCCAATTTCTGTTGTAATTTAATCATGACTGATGCCAGATATTTACATCAGCAAAACGTTGAAAAGGTGTATAGGTTATAGAAAAATCAGTGCCACTGTGGGTTTTTGCAAAGGCTTTGTTGATAGTATAATATATAATAGTTTTGAAGTGTTTTTGACGTCCATCACTTGTCTGTCTCATGGAACAGATGCGCTTCCATTTCATGAAATGTAACACTATGCACTCAGTGAAGCATTCATCTCCACAGATGGCCATTCTCCTGCTGTCTGTATGTTGTAAATGTATTAAGTATATGTACGATGGTTGATCAAGGACCCCAGTTTCTCTATAAACTTTTCCAGTTTCATTATCACACTTTTATTTCCCCTGCCGGCCACTGTGGTCAGGGGAAATGAAATCAATGGACCAATAAATATGAGTGCAGTTTTCCTCTTGTACACACCTCATGGAGCCTCCTCGAAATCTATTTGTGTCCAGTAAATTTCTGATAACGTTCAGCCTGATTGCAATCACAATTGCGTAACACTATGAGGGTTATATTTTTAGATGCAGAGCACCTAATAAAACAGTCTTGTAACTCACTCAAAACGCAATCTACATTTGGCATGCTGCAGACGGTCCACAAACAGGGAGTGGTTTATCAGACCAGTAATTCACCACCTGAAGGAAAGGACCAGCAGCAGCATAGACCTATAGATGTAGCTATGTTGATATCGCCACCTGCTGACGAACACATTACTAGCTGCCCATTGTAACACTGGCACCACATACAGGAAATGACTGGTGTGACTGATATTATCAAATTAAGGAATCCTTTGTTTAAATTTTAAGGTAGGATAAATGCAAAACAATTCACATTTCCTTTTCTTTGTAAGTGAAACTGATGTCTTGATACACCTACTTATCTCACTGATTTGAATCTTAACATATTTTCACTCATTCATGATATATAGTTAGATTCCTAGTACTCGTTATCCAGGGTTTAAAATGTTGCATTGAAAAAAAAATCTAGAAAAACTACAGCATACTGTAAAAGGTTTGCATCTGCAAGCTGCTGCTGCCGTCACTCTTACTGTCTATAGGCTGCACAGGTTTGGCTGCTCCTGCAGCTCTCAAGATGATGATCGGCTTGGCCTGGTTTCAGGAGCTTTGCATCAATGGCAGGGTGTCTAAACTATTATTACTTTAAAAGAATGTGTGATGTAGCTTTAAAATATATGTTTATCTTTATTCATCTCTGCATTTCTGTCTGCCCACTCCCTACCTACCCCTCTCTCTCTCTCTCTCTCTTTCTCTTCCTTTCTCTCTCTCTCTCTCAGAACTAGCAGGTCCTGGTCGGAGGCCCAGTCCGCCCCAGCTGGAGCTGAGGATGGTTCAAAGTAAAGCTGACATAGAAGACCCTGCTATAGTTACGGAGGCCACAGTCATATCCTAACATTACCGGCCCATAAGACTCATACTAACCATGTCCTCTTCACCCATAAATCTCTCAAATCTCGGTAAATCTCTCATCACTGTAAACCTTGACTGTCATTTCAAAACTTCCACACCTCATTATCCAGACTCCTTAAACCCCTTAGTATTGTAACCCCTTTAGTCCTTTTCCCCTTTAAGTCCTCAGTGTCCTAACCCCCTTAAACTGAACCTTAAACCTGTAACTCCAAAACCCTTTTACCTAAACCCTGTTTGGGAAACCAGAGCCATGGATAGACAGTTTGGTCAGACAGACAGTTTGGTCAGACAGACAGGCTCTAACAGCGTGTGAGCTAAAAGCTGTAGTGCTAAGGCTTATTTCTCACTCCAAGATAGCTCTAATTCCACTTGCATAACACGTAAAATGCCATATATAAGCTAAAAAATACAAAATATGAGGGTGATAAGGGTCATGAAAACCCTCAAAAAACCCATTTAGGTTCAGTCATAACCATGATATAGAAACTGTTTTGGTTGTTTTTAACAAACGTGGAGTAGCTAATACTAGAACTAGTAGTAGTTAATACTCTGGTGTTCTCAGTGTCTTTACTGAGGAGTGATAGGTGGCAGGGAGCAAACATAAATGAATGAATTGAGGCAAAGTATTTTTTTCCCATTGTGAATTCATATTTAAAAATATCTACTAGCACTTACCATAATAATACTCATCACAACACAGGAGAGCCTCCCTGATGACTGATAGAGTAACTTAACATGACTGTGTACAGATACACACAGGAGTACACATCTCCATCAATGCAGTGAGGTGACCCTTTAAACCATTAAGTAAAAACAAGATAATTATTCTTATCTGTTATTTTGGATTAAATGGCACAAAGGCTATGTTCACACTGCAGGCAAAAGTGGCCCAAACCTGATTTCTGATCTGTTTTCATGAAGTGTGAACAGCACAAATGACATAGATCTTTTCAATTCTGATTTGGGACACTTTCATATGTTGTCCAAATGAGTTACAGGTCGGATGTTTTCCAATGTGACCTCAGTGTGAACAGTCGTTATAGAATTCATGTGACTTTTCCTTCACTCTAGATTTCAGGACCACAAACGTGTTCACACTGGAATCTGATATGAGCCACATTCAAAACATAATGTGAACAGCCAAACAAAAGCAAGATCTGAGCAATAAATCAGAACTGTGTTAAAGCCAGACACCAGCCCCACAAAATCTAACTTCTAATGTAGCAGGATTATTTGTTGTTGCATTCAGAAATAAAACTCTGCAACATATTTGCAGTATTTACCCCCAAAGTAAACTGATTCCAGCTGCTAAACTCTACCTCTAAATTATTAAATATAAACTTGCCTACTTTATTGCTCTATAACTGCCACTCAACTCACATACTCTGTCTATTTTTGACAGAGCTGCACTGTAGCGGTGGTCCTCCACACCAGTTGCCAAGTAGCAGGATTGCAGCACTAACACTGGTGTTAATGATCAAACACTGTTTATCTATGGCTCTGCCCACCACTATTTCAAGCCCCTCCCCGTCTTACAGCAGTGATGTAATGGTGACCAAGTCTAACCCCCTGAGATCCCTTGAAAATATAACAAAGGAAAAAAAAAACGCACAATGTATAGTTGATGTATAGATGTTGTACTATAACTGTATTGGACCATCTGTATGATATCTTCTATCTGATCTGTCTATTGGACCATTGTGTTGATGCTACTGTACTATAGACCACACGCACTACAATATCACCCAAACCAGAGACATTTGGGCTGGTTCTGGCACTCCTGGAGGCTCCAGTGGCTCCAGTCGTTGTCGCTTGTTAGTAATAGGTAACTGTCTAATAGTCATAGTATATAGTTGAACCTCTTTCATCTCTACACAACATAAAGAAAAAACTGGCAACCTGAGCCGTCTGAGCCGTCCCTGGCCGGTTATACTTCTGCTAGACCAATCAGAAATTGGCTACCTCAGTGCCAGAACCAACCCACATCATGCCGGGCGGTTCCCGGCCCAGCTCTGGCCCAGAACCCTATATCTGAGAGTTGTGCCACTGAATTTACTGGAGGCCTCGAGAAGTTGTAAGAGGAGACCCTCGTCTTCCCCCACGTCCAGTATCAGCTCTGTGAATATCTGTTGTAGAAATTGTCACACTCCACTGTGGTTCAACAACAGACATGATGGCAGTAGGTCCAATTTTAATATGACGGCAGGTAAATCTGGGTAAACTGATGACTGTTCCCCTATTAAAAAAAGCATAGAATATACATGATCTAACCCGTTTTATCCTTCATCAAATGATTGTTTTGTCTATAAAATGGCACAAATTTGTGCAACTCTATTTCACTCTATATCACTATTTCCCAGAGCCCAAGGTAATTTCTTCAAATTGCATGTTTTTCCCAACAAATATTCCAAGTTTACAGCAAATTCTCACATTTGAGAAGCTGGAACCAACAAATGTTTGACATTTTTCCATGATAATAACAATTAATTGATCATCAAAATGTCAAAGAGTATCTACAGCACAATATGAGGAAACTGAAATCACCCTACCCCAGAAAACCTTTTTACTACTATAGCTACAGTTAAATCTTCAATTAAAGTGTGTTTGCTGACTCACCCGATGGCTAACTAGCTACTATACTAGCTAACTTGTGCTAAAGTCTTCAGTTATGCCGGGAAATAAAATGATTAATAATTCATTCTAAATGGCCACCATAACATTGAGTTGGGCCGTTGCAGCAGTCTGTTTATCACAGTGGAGTGTGATAGGAAAGAGTTGAGGAAAACATGACATGCGACCAATGATGTCGCGAGAACTTGGCATGTGCCTTAGCCCACTGCGCTACCAGGGCACCACAGCAGACGAGATTTTAATGCAATTTTAACACTTTTAAGTTACATCGGAATCCCCCCCCCCTCCCCGTTGCTTCCTGATTTGAATGTTCGGTAATCTAATTTAACAGGAAACAGCTAAAATTATTTTAACTTTGCTCGGCAACAGCATACAGTTTTAGAGAGTGTAAACCAAATAACCGGAGGCCTAAAAAAAGAAAAAAGAAAAATCCAGATGTCATCAGTGTCCCACCTGAGCTGGATGTAAGGTTCTGGGCAGACCAGTGTAATTCTGTACTGCTGTTGTTTCTCTATGGACTGTACTGTGATACTGCCTTAGGAACCTAACATCATAACGCCACAATACTGCTCACTGAGGGAGAGGTGGAGAGGGAGGAGGAAGGAAACATGAGATGTCTTAAATGTAGGTACTCCTGACTGCAAATTTCTGTTCTACAGTGCGCCTGAAACAGGAAGAGATGAGATTGCATATGCTTCGATTTTCTGTTTGAATCTAAAAAAAATGTCTCTTTAGGGCTGCAAGCAGTGATTTCATTATCAATTAGTTAGATTATTCTTTAAATTAACCAATTAATTATTGGGTTTAAAAAAAGATTTTTACAGAACAGAAAATTTACTGTTTTATTAAACAGAAAATCAGCAAGTCTTGAATGAATCATTTAAACAATTGAATTATTGTTCTTTAATTTTCTGTTTTACGACTAACCGATTTATCATTTAAGCCCTACAATCTTTCCTTTTGTGACTCAAAGATACACTTCCTGGACTAATGGTGGGGGGGGGAATGCAGTCTCATTTTTAAAATTGCAATAGTTAATATTGATTTTTGTACTAGAACAGTTGTATTGTGCCACTGTAGCACTGATTGTCATATCAATAACAGACTACTGTGTCTGTGCGCTTGGCCAACCAGCTTTAAGCTCTGCTATAATCAACATGTGCACTATCCAATCCTCTGCTTCCTGCTAACAAACCAGTCCGCTGTATTATTGGGTCAAAATCTGTCTATCTGTCGTGTCTGTGCGTGTTGTGTGTGAGAGAGTGTGTGTACACGTGTATATAAATGTCCTTTGTGGTCACAGGGTTTTGTGTGTGTGTGTGCACGCATGTGGAGTGAAAGAGGAAATCCCTGAAAAGTAAAACTAACAAAGATGGAGGGGTGAGAGAGGAGCAGGGTAAAAAATAAAAAAAAGAGACAGGAATAGTGTGCATGAGGAGGGGAGAGGAGGTATGTTCAAGAGGACAATCATTCTGTGATGTTATGCATTGTTTGACGACTCCCTTTCCCCCCGATCTGCTTAACAAATAGACGATTGTTTTTGTTCTGGACTTCCTGAAAGGGGGATTTGAATCTTAAACGTTTCCTTGATGCCTCGCGTCCCCTCTTTCTCTTCCTCCCCCTCCGCCCATCCACATGCAGATATATCTGTCCTTCAACCTGTCCACCCGCCTCCCTGCAGTGCCATTGTGTCTGTATCGCTAGTTTTTAAACCTTAGCCTCGCTGTGTGTGTGTGTGTGTTTGTGTGTTAGATGGTTATACTGTGCCCTGACTTCCCCCTATCTCTCTGCTCGATTGTCACTACTGTCCCCGCTTCTGTTCCCATGCTGGTTTCAACCTTGAACTCCACTTGCTTGCTGTGTCTTTTGTGATACAACTAAACTTCACTGCGCTCTTGTAAAAAAAAAAAAAAGCTGCTGTTAACTTCACCCTGCTTTCAGTAACTCTTCCTTCGTAATAACTGCTACTGTTGTCTTGTTTACCTACGTACGATTCGTCCGTTAAACATCCGGATTGAGTTGCGCCAGCTCTTTGTAGATCTGTCTCTAAGTTTGTGCGGAAAGTCCTTCTGAAGTTCTTAGGCAGTGCTTGGCAGTTTCATACTTGTGATTTACTAAATCGAGTTGCACCGTTACAACTTCAGAAATATCTTGGCTAGGTAAGACTTTAGTAATGTGTAAATCGGTTGCTGGGAAACATCTTAAAAAACTATTTTAATGAGTCTTTACCCGCCACCATTTTCTTGCCAGTGACCTGATAACTAAACTGCCCATGTGCAACTCTCAACAGAGATGAGAAGGAAGCCAGATGGTTCACTCGTTTAGCTACTTCTCTTGCCAGTGTCGGTAGTCGGTAGATTTATTAGCCTGACTCACAAATTCTTAGTCAAGCAGTTTAACTGAGTTTTAGTGTAAAACTCTTAATAAATAATAACTCAATAAATAATAACTATTTTTAATATTTTATGCTAGTATGTTAAGGGTTACGGTTAAGTGTTTTCTTTGTAATTTAGTAAAATTATATTGTCATATAATTTTATATTATGAAGTATATTGTGTTTTTTTTATTTAATTGAACATTTTACCAGTTTTCATCATAACTAAACATTTTGAAGAGTCAATCCATTGCTTTAATCTAAATTGTTCAAATATTAGCAAGCTAATGTCACTGCAGCTACCAGTACATAACAGTTACACCTGGTAGTTACTGGGTGTAAATATTTAGTGGTGTAGTAACTAGTTTGTGTGGTGCAACCCGATTTACTTTATTAAACGGTTTCCGTTAAGTAGGCTGAACCTACAAACAGCTGGTGCAACCGGTTGCTGGTTGCTAATGAACTAAAGACGGTTGCCTTTGGGGCCGATCAAGCAGACTGGCACACTGCACAGTGTCAGCCCGAAATATTGTTTTATGTTGGTTTTAGTAGTCCTTTATGTGTAGCCAAACATTTACTGTCTGACAGTATCTGGATCATGAAGTTAGCATGACTTTGTGAGCTAGGTAAAACTTCCTGTGATGGAAACAAAGGGTCATCAAGTATATATGAACGTATTAAGTCCTTATGGCAACAGAGTTAGCAAACAATTAGCCACTTTTTGGCTAACCATGGAGAATCTAATTGGCTTGTGTGAATCTGTGGGCTTAGAGCAGCTCCCTGAGGTTTTATGTAAACTCACCACAGCACGAGCTGCAGAGTTGGGAGGTTAACTGATTGGTAATTTTAGCAACCCTTTCACAATAACTCGATGTCAATTTAAAACATATTTCTAAATTCTGGTTTAAGGCTTGTGTGATTAGGTTGAGTTGTGTGATTAATGTTACAAATGAAGCTCTACAAATTAGCAAGTAAAATGAAAACAGCAGCCAAGTGGCAAAGTAGTGATTCACTTAAGTTTTATTTAATATCATGTTTTTAAGATTGAACTTGGAAATTGGACAGTGCAACAATAAACGAGCAGGACGACTTGTAAAGGCTGCAGTGAGAACTGTCCTGTGTGAGGCCCTTCACCTTTCTGTCAGTCCGTCATTTAGATGGTTACAAGTGACTCTCCCATGTGGCTTTGCTTGATGCTCACCACTGTCCACGCTTCCTCCCCCTCATATTTCCCGTCCTCTCTGTACCTGTTGTGATCCCTCATCCCCGTCTGTTTGGTTACAAAATGGCTGCCACTCAAAACTGCAATGGCCCAACCACCTGACTGTGGTCCCCTCCTCTCCTCCTGACAGTTTCATCTCTGCCATCTTGTTTTTCTGTTCTTGGTGGCCAAAACGAGGAAATGTAATAATCATTGTTTGGTAACTGTTTTTAGTGCTATGTTTTTGGAGCGTTACGAGTATTTTCTAACATGTTACAATAAAAGATTGTAGTGTACAAATTCACATTTATAAAATATATATATATAGATATATATGAGAAATGTATGTTCTAATGCAATAAAGAGAGATTAAGAATTATGAAAATTGTATTGATTATTATTATTATTATTTTACTTGTGTAAAGGTTTGTTTGTCTCAGTGGGGTCATCCCTATGTTCCCC